CTGATAGGAAGTGGAAAGGCTGGGATTGGAGAACCACTGTGTTCAGTGTTCAGTGCTGGGATTGCAGGAGGTGGCTTAACCCACTGTGCCACTACATTGTCCCCAGGGTCTATTAAAACTGTATACCAAACTAGGCTTGAGATGTAGGTTTTCGGAAGTGTGCGTAGTGATATACTCTTGCTAAGTTACAGATTTTTGATAATTTTGGAGTCTGTGGACTTATCTTAGTGAAATGTAATTTTTGTGATGTATTTAGTTCTTTGTGAAACCAGTGTTAATAATCATTCTACCTAGTCGAGAAATGAGGTTGAGTGGGTTAAAAATTAGTTGAATGGTGGTTGGTTGTTGGAGACACAGTTGATGACCTGTATGAGTCTAACTAAGTATATAGAATCTGCCAGTCCTCAGTGTCTAGTTGGTCTCAGGAAGTGAGCTCAGGTGTATACTTGAATATTTGAAATATGTACTACCTTCAGGTTGCCCATGTTAACACATTCCGGGCTAGAAGTGTCCATGTTTGAGCGAGTAAGGGAGCCTGGGTTTGAGGATGACTCTGGAACACTGCGCTCCACTGCGTGACTCAGTTATGAACCCTGAGGGTTTGTCTGTAGATGACTGATTTTCAGACTGTGTTGTAAGGCTCTGTATCATCCTTTGAGGGTTTGGCAAACAGTGAAAAATATTTTTTGCTTGTGGATAATCTGTCTTCCTCTTTACTTGCTGTTTATGCATTTGGGTTCTCTCTCAATTCTTCTGGAAGAGCTTCACTGCCGAAATATTTGTGAAGTCTCCTGGCTGTAGAAACTGAAAATCTAGAATGAGTAGGTATTAGAAAGTAAAAATACGGATCCTAGTAATTTACATCTGCTGTGGGCCAGACAGTACCTATTTTCAGTTACACTTGTATTTCTGTTCCTGCTGTTTGTGTAGCCTAATTAAAATGAGGTTGAGGTGATTGAACACAGGACATTAATAGGGTGGGGAAGTGATTAGAGCTAAAACTTGCTGTGGAAAGGAGGATAATCTACAATTCACTGAACTGAGCTTGCTCCTCAGCGCCAGCCCTTGCCGAGCTTAAAGGCTGCCCTGAGCATGATGTAATGACAGGTTAAACCTCTGAAAGTGGTAGCTGATGCAATGCAAATCTGAGGCCCACAGGACTTTATTGGGGCAAGGGTAATGCTTGTTTAAAAACAAAACAAGCCATTCGGAGTTTAATGAGGCTGTTTAAGACGGCTTTCCCAGGGTGGGAGAGAACCGATCTCTTTGGAGGTTGAGAGGAGTTTAATGTGGCTTGCGTGTGTTTGCTGCTCTCCCTGCAGTCTGACAGAGAAGGGAGTATAAAATAGGCTGCCCACAGGGTAGACGCGGAGACGTGAGTTTGAATTGAGGAGATTTGGTAGTTCATGCCTGGCAAATACTGTAGTAGATGTGAGTTCACACGATTCACTTGGAAGGATAATGCGTGCCAGGAGCGCTAGTCTGGACGCAATTTCCCACTCTGTGTAGCTCTTGGATTGAAACCGTATTGCACTGTTCTGACCCCTCAGAAACATGGTTCAGCCTAAAATTAACTGTCGGAAAGGCTGGAGCGCGAGGGCCCGGGCCGCGGCAGAGCTGCCCCGGCCTGCCGCCAGCGGTGGGACGGCCCTGGGCCGGAGCCCCACCCTCGGGCAGCCCGGCCCCGCCCCGCCCCGCCCCGCCGGGAAGGCAGCCGCCGCCCTGGGCGCGGCGAGCCCTGGGCCAGCCCTGGCGCTCTGGGTGGGAGCAGGCTGCCCCGGCCCGGGCCTGGGCCCCTGCCCCCTGACCCAGGAGCGGCTGCAGAAGACTCTCCCGGGTGCAGCCCCGGCCTTCACCCGAGCGTGGCGGGAGCCCAGCTTGTGAATCCGGAGAAGGCAAACTTGGGAGGCCGACGAATGCTTAGGGCTCGGAGGAGGACAGCTCAGCCATGGCTCCCATTTTTGGAGACGCAGGCGAATTTGAGCTCACGGGGAGGTGTGGTCACCTCCTGGGGCGGAAAGGCTTCATTTCTCCACCTCCAGTGTGGTGCTTCTGAGAAGTGAGCGGCTGGGATGTATGGAGCCTGACCTCACACGGATTTGAGTCTCCTGTGCGTTGGATCCTAAGGGGCCTCTGTTACAGATTGTCTTGGCTTCTTGGGGACACGCGATGTGCTGCCTGACTTCTCATGACCGGAAAGCCCACCCTACCTTTTCTGTACTCCTGGAGGGGAGTCTTGCTCACATGTTTCCCAGCGGGTAGGACAAGGAAGAGAAAAGGTATTGGCATGAAGAGACTGGGTTGCTGGAACAAATTTGAAAGCTGTGATTCTGTGGACTGACTGGCTTAGGGAATGGCTGTGCATATCGCAGCTCTTTCTGGGCTTTGCAGTGACGTTTCATTTGAGCTGCTGTACTTTCTCTGTTGAGATCAGACTTGCACGGGGCTGCCCATGGCTGCCGCTGCAGGGCCTGCTCTCTGGCTGGGATTCCTGTGCTTGTTCCAGCTCCACCTGGGTTGTGCCTTGGAGCTTTGGGAGGTTCGCAGTCGCTGCCTTGTAATACCTGCATACACAGTGACCGGCTGCACTCCACTTGTTTTTCATACCAGGAATAGGAATCCAAATGTGATTTCTACATTCTACAAAATAAAGATATCGTCACGGGAGCCTGAACTCTCGATAATAAAGATGTATTGCTAGGTCAAGAAACAGCAAACAAAAGTGGTTTTCTTGCTCAGTAGCTGTATTATGTTAAATACAAACCACCCTTTGTGGTTAGCTGCTTTGAGAGGCATTGGTAGCTTAAGATGTTTTGCGCTTAAGGAACTGTTTTCCAATTATTTTTTTGACTTTAGTGAGCAGTGTAAACTGGATCCTGAAATAAGCAGAAAGCATACAGAGATGAGGTGCTTGGGCAGGGCTAAAGCCCATTGTTTCACAGGTGACGTGGAATGGATGGCTCATCCTTTGCACAAAGACTCTACTCAGGGAAACTGCATTCCAGGAGAGCTCCTCTGTCCCCTTTCTCCAGGGACAGAACACCTGGGTTACACAGGCCTTCTGATGGCCTTGCTTCATGTCCCTGTACCTCTCTAGGATGAGCCATGTAGTGCTGGAAGTCTGATATGTTTTTGCTTCTCTTTGAACTTTAGAATGCTCCTTTAGTGACAAAGGAACTAATCCCTTTTGGTTTAGTTTTTCTGTTTCAAAGTTAGTCTGGGTTTAAGTATATCAAATTGGTAAATACCCAAATTGCATTTACTTGGCCACATTAGTAATTGACATCCTTCCCTAAAAGTTAAGTTCTTTGCTACAGAATCCTGATTATAATCGAGAGAAAGCTTTAAATCTGAGGCTTTAACTTTGTAGAACTATGGCTTAGTATAGTGATTGGGAATGCAACCTTAGAACATCAACAGAAGGATTCTTTTGTTACTCCTAACACAAATAGTGCCATACCCAGCAAAGGTAGATTCCTGGGAAAAGATGTTTGTTTTGTTTACATTTGGTTCAGCCTGAGTTGTTAGTGCCATTGTTGATCATTTACCTGCTACATAATGTTTATCATCCTGCTCAAGACTGTTTCCTCACCACTGCAAACCTTTACCTGTTGCCCACCTGCCCCGTCCCCAGTGTTCTGTGTGTCAAGTGGGACTTTGATTCCTCTCCTTTACCTTCCTTTCTGCTCCTTCCCTTTGTGCATTATATCTGATCTGTATTGTGGAATGGAAGAACAGAATGACGTACTTTTCTCTGGACTGCAGAATCAAAACTTTTGAGGATGATCTTCCATTTTTTCCCCCTCATTCTTGAGGTGGGCGCTGATAACCTAGTGGATAATGGTTTGGGAGAAGACTTAGTTAATAGGATGGTAGCAGGTGTTTCTCCTTGGCCCCCTTCTTCTGTCCCCAAAATAAACCTCCAGAGCAGATACTATTCACCGTTAGGAAGAGTTAATGTCAGTGCAGATGATCCCATGGCATTTGAACTACACAAGGGTACTTAAAAAATGTTCCTGGAAAATGAAATTAAAAGATAAGTATATATTGGCACAAGTTTTTTGAAATCTGTGTAGTTTTTTTCTCAACACATTTCCATGAGCATTTTTTTTTTTTAAAGATTTATTTATTTGAAAGAGTTGCGCAGAGAGAAACGGAGAGTCAGAGAGAGGTCTATCATCTGCTGGTTCACTCTGCAATTGGCTGCAATGGCCGGAGCTGTGCTGATCTGAAACCAGGAGACAGGAGCCTCCTCCAGGTCTCTCACGTGGATGCAGGGGCCCAAGGACTTTTGCCATCTTCTACTGCTTTCCCACGCCATAGCAGAGAGCTGGATAGAAGAAGAGCAGCCAGGACTCAAACCAGTGCCCATATGGGATGCCGGCATTGCAGGCGGCGGCTTCACCTGCTAAGCCACAGCACTGCTGGCCCCTCCATGAGCATTTTGAAGATTCATTGTATACAAGGATTTCAACATCTTTTGCACTGAAATAATGTTACCTTTTAATACATTTTCCATGAAATTTTTGTAGTGCCCTGCTGTAACTCTCCCCATATGTAGCTGTTCACAGCTGTCTCGGAATCAGAAAGAAACAGATAGAGGAATATCAGAGAGGGGGTGGAGTGGCAGTCACAACAGCTCTGATTGGATGTAGGCTGCTCACACAGCGTCTCCTGGTTGCTTATGGCTCATTTTCTGTTTCAGCATTTCTTACTCCCATTAAAGACAATTCTTAGCACTGTTTTTTAAAGGGGGGGTGGTGTCTAATTATGTTCTAGAACATTTTGAAAATGGTGTATAACTTACAACTGCTAATAATCAAAATGCACATTTAGTGTCATTTATGTTTTGTTTTTAATTCTATTTTTTATTTTTGCTCACAATAAATTTTGCATGAAGCTTAAAGTATTTCTGGCTTGTAAAAGTTACTGATATAGTAAGTAAAAAGTTGTAATTTTTCTCCTGCCTCCTTTTACTTTTTATTTATTTTTTATTGCAGAAATGAGCCGTCAGACTGCTACTGCATTACCGACTGGTACCTCGAAGTGCCCGCCGTCGCAGAGGGTGCCTGCCCTGACGGGCACGACCGCGTCCAACAATGACTTGGCGAGTCTTTTTGAGTGTCCGGTCTGCTTTGACTATGTGTTGCCACCCATTCTTCAGTGTCAGAGTGGCCATCTCGTTTGTAGCAACTGTCGCCCAAAGCTCACATGTTGTCCAACTTGCCGGGGCCCACTGGGATCCATTCGCAACTTGGCTATGGAGAAGGTGGCCAATTCAGTACTTTTCCCTTGTAAATATGCCTCGTCTGGATGTGAAATAACTCTGCCACACACAGAGAAAGCAGACCACGAAGAGCTGTGTGAGTTTAGGCCGTACTCCTGTCCGTGCCCTGGTGCTTCCTGTAAATGGCAGGGCTCTCTGGACGCTGTAATGCCCCATCTGATGCATCAGCACAAGTCCATTACAACCCTTCAGGGAGAGGATATAGTTTTCCTTGCTACAGACATTAACCTTCCTGGTGCTGTTGACTGGGTGATGATGCAGTCCTGTTTCGGCTTTCACTTCATGTTAGTCTTGGAGAAACAGGAAAAATATGATGGTCACCAGCAGTTCTTTGCAATTGTACAGCTGATAGGAACACGCAAGCAAGCTGAAAATTTTGCTTATCGACTTGAGCTAAATGGGCACAGGCGACGATTGACTTGGGAGGCGACTCCTCGGTCTATTCATGAGGGAATTGCGACAGCCATCATGAACAGTGACTGCCTAGTCTTCGACACCAGCATCGCACAGCTCTTCGCAGAAAATGGCAACTTAGGCATCAATGTAACGATTTCCATGTGTTGAAATGGCAATCAAGCGTTTTCTGGCCAGTGTTTAAAACTGTTGCATTCAGTTTCACAGAGAGCAAGGCACCCGACTGCCTGCCAACCTGAAACTCTTTGGGCAGGTGGAAACTAGACACATGAAGGTAAATAAAAAGAAAGGCTGTTAAATACAGGAAACAGTTGCATGTAGTAACACTAATATATTTAAAAATAAGTCAACAGTAAACCACTGAAAAATATATATATATACACCCAAGATGGGCATCTTTTGTATTAAGAAAGGAAGCATTGTAAAATAATTCTGAATTTTGTGTTTGTTGTAGATTGATTGTATTGTTGAAAAATACTGGTTTTTGTTTTGTTGTTCTGTTTCTTCTGTTATTGCGTGTGTCTGTGTGTGTGTGTGTGTGTGTGTGTTTCCCTAACTGACAAGCCATCTGAGTGGTCTTGGACCACTGCTTTTTCCCCTTTGTGAGTCAATACATAGTGCTGCTGTGTTTCCTTGTGTGTGTATATTTGCTAATTTTTATTAATTCTAGTTTTTCATTAAATAAACTTTCTTTTCTGTAATTCAGGTTTTCCTCACTTTTTTGGGTACCTTTTAAAGTCAGTGTCTTCCTGCCCTGATAACTGTTTATGGTGAAGTTTGTGTTCGGGGTACGTTCTCGTTCCCCATTCGTCAGTTTAGCAGACACATTTCATCAGCTGCTTGGTGAAGACAGGCGTTCCCAGAGGAAAGGGAACATTGGGAAACCCGTCAGAAGCCACCCAAGCAGCCACGAGATGGTCTTCTCTCTCCTTTTCGCACTCACTACTTCGTCTCCATTTGAGTCCTATATACAAGTTAGGGAATGCATTCTGATTCATATAAATACTGAAAATCAGGCTTTTTTTTTTTTCTTTTCCAAATATTGTAGACAAATCACATGATCACATGTTCAAAATTTGTTCTTGTATTTATTGGTTTTGCAAAAAGAAGGCATCGTCACATACAGTGTTTGTAATTAAAGTAAATCATTTGTTTAAAAAAGACAGTTTGCAAAAAATATGTTTTTGGTCTTTTATAATTCTCATTAAAAGAATATCTGGCAAACGGAAAACTCTTAATGTGTCTGCTTTAGCTGTAAGATTGGTGAGGCCCGGGCGCGCTGCCGCCCTGCCCCGCTGCCGTCCTGCCCCGCCCCGCCTCAGGCAGGCAGCGTGATGCAGCCGGCGCTCAGCCGCGTGGCCTCCAGACACAGCCATACTTTCTCACCCTCCCCTGCACGCTGCCTGCTTCTTGTGCCTCCGTAAGAACAGCCACCACTTAAAATACTCCCTTTCTCCCCTTTAGGGAACAAAAGTGCGTTTAGTATTTCATAGCTGATTGTTGAGACTTGGCTCGGAGCCAGGCTGCCAGCTACCTGTGTGCCAGTCTTGGCTCTGCCCCACTTAGCAGTGCGTGACTTTGAGCCCCAGATTCCAGTGTGTAAAGTGGGCTTCTCCTGGGACAGCTCCCACGAACAGGTCAGTGGATACCTAACCTAAGTTGCCTACAGTTAGGCTTTGTACAGCCCAGGCATCTGACAAATGTTAGCTACTGTATGCCTTTAACTGGTTTCATACAGTTAACTGGAGATAGTTACCCTGAGGCACAGGGCAAGATTCTGAAATTGCCATCTGAATGGCCAAAGGAAATTTTATTTTCTGGTTTTAATGGAGACACAAAGCCTAGAAAGTCAATGAAAATTGATTTGGGTTTCCCTCCTGATCCTGCCACTGGTTCTGGGTAACCGAGTAACTCTTCAGGCAAGAAGATTGTGTGGTCTCTTCTCTGCATATGCATGATTTGAAAATGTTAGGTTCTAACGTGAGCCTGTACAGGCAGGAAAGAATGGTGCAGCCAGCCTTGTAGATCAAGGTTAATTTCTGTTAGCACACATGTTTAGAAGAGCTTTTATTCTTCATTTACTGTATTGAGTGTGCTCATGGAAGTCATTTTGTGGTTTACTATCTGCTCACTGCATAGACTTCGGCAGTTAGAAAATGCCACACACGATAGGGATCCGTGCTCCCATTCTCCAGAGATGAGTAAGATTAGAAAACTTTTAGTTTTACTTGTTTATTTGAAAGGTAGGCAGGCAGATAGATCATTCTCAGATGCTCATGGTAGATAGGGCTGGGCTAGGCCATTCAGGAACCAGGAATCCAATCCAGGTCTCCTGGACGGGTATCCAGAACCCAATTACTGCTAGAGCCATCTGTGGCCCCCCAGGGTGTGTGAGAAGCTGGAATAGAAGCTGAGCCAGGACTCAAACAAAAGCACCTGCCAAGAGATAGGAGCAGTCTTAAGCCTCCAGGCCGAATGCCTGCCCCTGGGTGACTGGCGTTTTTACTTTGCCAGTCCTTTCTGTGTGTATACATGTGCTTATGCACATTTATTTTGAAAAAATATTAGGATTGTGGGATTTTATTGTCACACAATGTGATCATCTGAGCATTTTCCAGCACTGTGTTAATAAAGACACTATTTTTGGTAACTTGTGAGGATTCAGTATAACTTTAGCTGGCTTCCTGTTGACTGGTTTCTTGGTCTGGGTAAGTTTTTTGGCTATTTATAAATAACCTGTAGCCATCTCTGTGTGTTTACTGATGGTATGAGGGTTCTTCAAGAGCTCGTGGGAAATGCATGTTATGAAAAACTCCATGAATTTACAAAGCTTTCCGCACCAAAATAAACTTTTAGTTCTGTTTTTCCAAAACTTTTTTTAAGTGCTTGTGTTCTTCCATCTGCTGGTTCACTCCCCAGATGGCTGCAACAGTCGGAGCTGCGCCGATCCGAAGCCAGGAGCCAGGAGCTTCTTCTGGGTCTCCCACGCAGGTCAGGGGCCCAAGGACCTGGGCCATCTTCTACTGCTTTCCCAGGCCATAGCAGAGAGCTGGATTGGAAGTGGAGCAGCCGGGACTCAAACCAGCACCCATATGGGATGCCAGCGCTTCTGGCCAGGGCCTTAACCTGCTGTGCCACAGCTCTGGCCCCAGGCTTTATACTTATACAAATTTGAAAGCACTACTATTACAGATTCATTTCAATTCATTTGAATCAGAGTAAGGAGGAAAGGCAGAGAGAGACATGGATCAGTCTTCCATCTGCGGTTTACTGAGTCAGGAGTTCTTCTGGTCTCCCACGTGGGTGCAGGGGCCCAAGCACTTGGGCCATCTTCTACTGCTTTCCCAGCTGCACTAGCAGGGAGCATGGCCGGAGGTGGAGCAGCTGGGACTAGGAACCGGTCCTCATGGGATGCCGGGGGTCACCACAGTGCGGCCCCAGGGGCTGAATACTTTCAACACGGTTTTTGGGAGAGGTCCCAGAGTAGCACTGCAACCTGTTGCTACCGTGTAAAGCACACTGGGGTTGACAGCTGGTGAGGCTGGTACCTGTGCCTTTGTTCAAGTCTTCACATTCCTGGTCACATCTCTCGGCCCTTGTGAGACCTGTGAGGCCTAACTTACATTGCTTCCGTTGAGGTGAGTACTCTGTCCTGTTCGTGGCCCTGCCCCTTTCACGAGTTGGGAGGAACAGGTGTAGGGATGCTCTGTCATTGGTTTTCCTCGTATATTCTGAACTTGAATTGGTCTTGTTGAATGGAATCATGGGTCAGTTCAGTGAACAGTTTTGCTTTGATTTTTATTGTGTGTGACTTTAAAAGACCCACGTTTCTGCACACTTGGAACTTTACACAAGTGGCTTTTTTTTTCTTTGTTTTTTACAGATAATTTATTTGGAAGGGAGAGTTAGATCTTCCATCTACTGGTTTACTCCCCGAATGGCCACTGAAGCCAGGTCTCCCAAGCACTTGGGCCATCTTCTGCTTTCCCAGGGAGTTGGATGCTGGTGCTGCATCCGGTGGCTTCACCCGCTGCACCACAGTGGCGGCCCCCAGGCGGCTGCTGCTAGCACAGCTCACCACAGATAGTGGCCTACCCCCCACGTTGGAGGCCCCGGGTGTGCGTCTTGGCTCTGCTCCTGATTCCAGCTTCCTGCTAATGTATGCCCTGGGAGGCGGCAGTTGGTGGCTCAGGTATTCGCCCTGCCACTCAGTTGAAGTCTGGGCTCGGCTCCTAGCTTCAGCCCTAGCCCAATCCGTTGCAGGCATTGCACGTGTCTTCTCTCCGCCTCTCAAAAAAGCAAAATGTTTACACCTCCCTTGCCTCTCCAAGGGCAAGAGGCTCTGTAGTCAGGAGCGTCTGTGATTCTGCTCATGGTAGAGTTTTCCTGCTGATTCCTGAGTAGAATTGGTGAGTAACCCAGTTTAAGAAACTCTACTTCCAATTAATTATCCCCGGAGGGTGCGGTGGGGTGGGGCTGGCTGTGACTGCTCCGTTAGAATGGACCAGACTAAGATCAGAAGATAATGGAACGAAGAGAGTGAACCCCAACCACACGCGTAGATGTGTACACCTTAAATGAGAAGGGACTGACGGTCCGAACAGTGCCCACTGTGGATGTATGTTCACTGCTTTGCTTTGACGGCTTACCAGAAGCTGCACGTATCCGAGCGTATCCAAGGAAAATCCAGCCCAGTGCGTCCTGAGCACCTGCTCAAACTCGGCGGGGGCACTCTGGGTTGGAGCTTCCACTGCCTGGATTAAATTTGACCCCCGTGCCCCTTAGCTTCTGTGTAGCCTTGTTCAGAGGGATGAGTGCTCGCCACTGCTCAGGGCATTGAGTGACTACCTGTGCTGTCTGCGTGTGTGGCTGTGCCTCGCACCCCAGCCTACGTGTCCTACTGAACCAGACGGCTTCCTGGGCCTTAACCCAGCTCCAAGACCTTTCTGACAAATAATGTATTTACTGAAAATTGAATAGGCTCGCTGATGAAAGTGTAAGCAGATTAGGATTTGGTTTAAAGTCTTTCACTTTCTATTCTCTGATGATTGTTAGAATTGGACTTCAAAAGCTTTTTTATCTTTTTTTTTTTTTTTTTTTTTTTTTTTTTATTTGAGAGGCAGAGTTACAGACAGAGGGAGACACAGGGAGAGAGAGGTCTTCCATCTGCTGGTTCGCTCCCAAAATGACTACAATGGCTAGAGCTGGGCCAATCAGGAGCCAGGAGTTTCTCTGGATCTCCCAAAGCACTTTGGCTATCCTCTGCTGCTTTCCCAGGTCACAGGCAGGGAGCTGCATTGGAAGTGGAGCAGCCAGGACAGGAACCAGTGCCCATATGGGATGCCAGCACATCAGGCAGAGGCTTAATCTGCTGTGCCACAGTGCTGGCCCCAAGTTGTTTTTTTTCTTTTAAAGATTTATTTATTTGAGAGGCAGAGAAAGAGAGAGAGAGGTCTTCCATCCGATGTTTCAGTCCCCAATTGGCCGCAATGGCCGGAACTACACTGAATCGAAGCCAGGAGCCAGGAGCTTCTTCTGGGTCTCCCATGCGGGTGCAGGGGCCCAAGGAGTTGGGCCATCTTCTGCTGCTTTCCCAGGCCATAGCAGAGGGCTGGATTGGAAGTGGAGCAGCCGGGTCTTGAATTAGTGCCCATATGAGATGCCGCACTGCAGGCAGCAACTTTACCTGCTATGCCACAGT